TATATATATATACATATGTTAAAATAATAAAGAAAACGCACCTGTTGATCTAGAAAGTTCATGAGATTAGGCAAATTGCATTTAAATCCATGTGTTTGCAACATACAACGCAAATGATCAATATTCACTGGCTCATATTGTAATATTTTATTATGTAAAGCTTTATCAATATTGATTAGTTTCATAAAGGCTTCTGTAATATTCGATGAATTTTCCAGTACCGATGATGACTCGGTTTCATAAAATTCCATTTCTTTGTTGAGTGTTTCTTTTGTAGGGCTTATACTATCATTGCTGTAACAGATATAATGTCACTTTTTTATTATATCTATATAAAATGTCATATTATGCTAAAAAGATTAATTAGTATTTACATTAATTAGATCTACCTATCTTGAGAACAAAGCAATTCATTTTCACTGTCTTCTGAATTGCTCAATTTTTCGAAACTGTTATCATCTACGTTTCGTTTCTTCAATGGAGGTTCCTCATTTTCATCGCTCGAAATTTCAGTGACCTGTTGTTCTATTGTTTTCTCAGGCATTAAAGGATGAAGTTCATTATAAATATGCGTTAATAATTTTACAGCTCTGCTACGTTTTTGTACCTTTAATCCATATTTCTTCATCTCTTTCTAAAAATTAATAATTTGCTCGTGAGAAAAGAAAATATTTTCAATTTTAAAAATTTATCACTTTTAATTAACTTACGTGTAATTCAGGAGTACTCATATCGTTGTAAATAGGCGGAGGTGTAACATCTTTATCAGTTATTTTAAGCATTTTTGCATTTCCAATGTTCTGGATGTAATTACATTGAAATTGTTTGGACACTCCTTGATTACGTAATCTATTTGTGTTAATCTGTCCCTCGGATAAAGATTTCTTTTTAAATTTCTTAACACTTGTAAAATTTTGAGTCAAAGATGTAACATTATTATCTAAGTTTCCACAATAATTTGCTGCTATATCTCTCCCTTTGATATTTCCATGATTATTTTTATCATTGCTTTTGCGTGTACTACTATTATTAAATTTTCTTATACTTGATATGTTAAATGATCGACTCTTCTCCAAAATATGTTGTTTCTCATATTTATCAATATCAACATTTGCAAGATATATATCGTCTTCAAAATCAAAAGAAAAAGTGGTTGACTTTCTTAATTTACAAGCCTCTAATCCTGATACATTTTCGGTACAAAGTTTACCTTGAAGCAAGTCTTCCATATGTAGAATTGGACTGCAGCTTTCATTATTTAAAAAATCTGGGCTAGAAGATACCATGATCGGACTTGGTATAGACTCCTTTTTCTGAGCATCATTTAATTCATTAAATTTATATTTTTGTGTCATTATCTCTGTAGTATTTAACTTATCTGGATTTAATTTTGCGCTATTAATATTTTTTTTTTCTTCCAAGTATGTCGTCATTGCTTTTGAAAATTTGTTAATTTCGAAGGATTGACTGTTTTTTTCATTTGTCATATCCTTTTTGTTTTTTTCTATTTCTTTTTTAGATTGTTGCAGAGAATGAGACATGATATTTTCACAGCTGGAGTCATTGTTCTCTAAGATATGGCTAACATTGGAAGATGTACTTTCAACATCTGAATCTGATGAAACAATTACATCTACATCTTTTTGTGTCAAAACAGATTGAGTCAAAATTTCATCTTTTTCAGCCTTATTAACATTACTGTCTTCATTGAGGAAATCAGATAATATACTTTTATTAGATAGATTATTATCTGACTTATTTCTACTGATTGCTCTTCGATACTTTGCTATGCTATTGTCCTTGTGATCTCTCATATATTTAGAATACATAGAAATCTCTTTCTCATTCGTTTCTAAATCAAAAATTGTTTCGCTAAGCGATCGATTCATTGTTTCAGTATGTTGTGAACATACTATCGGTACAGTTGTGACTTGTTCTGAAACATTTCTCTCATCTGATAAAGTAAAGTTTTGTGTACAATTCAATATATTATTATGGGAAGATTCTGTTATCTTTTTAGATAATAGAGAATCTATGTGCGAATTATTAGTCTGTTTAACATCTTTTACATCTTCATTAGAAAGACGAGAATAAAATTCTGGATTTTTGGCAGCATATGACTGCATACACTGCTCTATTATAGATAATCTACTGGGTTTTTTCTCTGTATCAACTGATTGTTCATCATTATCATAAGGTTGAAGATTGGAGTTATCGTATTTATCTATACAAAATGGATTCTTATGCTTTATAGAAGATATTTGTACAGAACATTCCATCTCTGTGGCATTTATCAACGCATCCGATTCCGCGTTTTCTTTCTGGATTTCTTCGATAAATAATGTGATATTACTTTTCTGTTTTATTATCTTTGAAAAATCCTGACTACATTCAGATATATTGTTTTGGGATATATCCATTAAAAAATTGTTATGCATATCATTGATAGAAAATTTCAGAGAATTTGATTCGACTGGATTAATTTCTACACTTTGTTCCAAATTTTTCAAACAAATAGATGTACTTCTATCTAACTTTAAATGTTTTGTATTCTGGGGTTTTGCAGTTGATAATTTTTGATTACAGATATCAACATCTGCATCTTGTTTGAGCAAATTCAGTAATATATGGATATTAGAATCTTCCAAATCTTTAGAGTGTACTGTAGATTTATCATTGTGCTTCATCACAAATGTTTCATCAAACATGTCAGGAGATACACTAGTTTCTCGTTTTGCCAGTGTGTTGCTCTTGAAATTCATTTCCTCTGATAATTTCAGTGAAGTATCTTTTTCGTCTTGCAAAATGTACTCGTTCTTTGCAGCTGCGTAATTATTTTCAAGAAGGTATAAATCATCATTAACACCCTCTAATAGTGTTTTCTGAGAGCATGGAATGTTTTTCACAACATTATGCGTACAATTTGGTGATTTGTTGAAAGATTTATTTAATTTTGAAACATCAAAAGTTGTTTCTATATTTGGATGTACATTTTCTGTACTTTTTTCATAAGTATTACAATTATGTTTAACTTCTGCTGTAGATTTAGATTTCTTTTGACGCAAATAAACAAATAAATCGTTTATTTTGTATTTCCTTCCTAAAGCTCTAATACCAGATAAAGTTATCTGAGAATCAAGTATTTTTGAATACTTATCGATTATACCACAATAAATAAATTCTAAAAAGGCCATGGCGACATTATAGTCTGTATCAAGCCAACAAATTTTTTCTTTTGCAGTAGAGAACTCTGTATCATTAGATATTACATCAAGTAAAATATTTGCGCAACGTGTATAGAAAACCAACTTATGCGTCCATATGTGTTTGCTATTTCTAACGAACACAATAATATCACTTGCAAAACTATCATTTAGTATATTTCTCCAATTTGTAGCTAAATTGTCAAGAAATTGCTTTTCTTTACAACATATATTAATATTTGAAGAAATCGTTAATGCTTCATTAGTGTCCATTGTTTTTATAACGTCCTGTATATCTTTTATTTCTTGCATTTGTTCATTATTTAAAGAATTTTCGTTGTTTATGTTTAATTCCATAAGCTTTATAGCATTCTTCTCTTCCTATAAAGCAGAACACTGTTATTATATTTTTTAAATATATTATTATTATATAAAAAACAGAATGTCCCATAATTTGTGACCGAAATAATACATTCCTGACTTAAAAAGACAAAAATCTTAATACCAGAATGTCAAGACTATAATAATTTTTAAATTAATTCGTTATATATATTTATTATTTTTAATATCCTGTAATATTTTTATGTTATGTGCATTGCATATGTAATTATTTTCTATGTTTAAATATTAGTGTGAAATATTATATTTTAATATTATTGTATATGTTATTACTTCAATTTTACATGGAGTGAACATAGACGTATGAACATTCATTTGTGTGATGTACTCTGAGCGCGCGAAATGTTAGCTCTATATTAGTTAACTTTAACCACTATTAAGTTAAAAACTATTATATAGTCTCGACATTTTATGGTATTAAGATTTTTGTCTTATTTTTAAGTCAGGAATGTTATTAAAATTTCGGTCACAAATTGTGGGACATCCTTGTTTATATACAGGGTGTTCTATTTTAAAGGATCCACTCAAATATCTCAGAAATACTGCATTAAATTGAAAAATGTTTCAGACAAAAGTTTTGTGATTTCGAAGAGGACATCAGATGGTATCGTTGGTTTGACCGTGAGCGGCGTTGTCAAGATAAGATCACTTTGAATTTTTTAAATAAAATCCCCCATTTTTCATTAGATATTCTTGTAGCTTACCTCGAGAATTTTTCAAAACTCTATAATAAAATTTTTTTTTATTGAATACTTTGCGAGTTATAGGACTTGAAAATTACAATATCGTCGGCATTAGCATTGCCCAAGATATCCGACCAGCTAAAACTTCTTGAAATCACAAAACTTTTGTCTGAAACATTTTTTGATTTAATGCAGTGTTTCTGAAATATTTGAATGGATTCTTTAAAGGGACATCCTGTAAAATATATATATATATATATTTTTTTTTAATATAATAACTTATGTGCCAATAGATAATAACTTACATTTGATTTCTGCTCTTTCTTTTCTAATGGTATTATTTGAGGCAATAGTTGTTTTACATAAAATATATCTTTAGTTAGAATTAGTTTTGTTCTATCCCACAATGTATTCTCCTTAAAAATAATAATATATGTATAACATATAATATTTTAAAGTCTGCTGATATTCGGATTAGAAAATAATTTTTCTATATAAAAAATTTTTCTATATAAAAAATAAAGTATAATTACAATTTGACGTAATTGTTGAAGTAATTGACTCTTTATGTCAATCTTCTCTTTAACGCCATTAGACTCTTCTACTTTTTCCTGAGATCTTTGAGTAAAATCTTTACAATCCATAAGTATCTCAGCTATTCTCTCTGTTAAAATACGTTCTCTTTCTAGAGCTGTACGTCTTTGCAAAATGGTTGGTTCAATAGGCTTTCCTTAGAAAGAAGAAAAACATAAAAAAAAATTGTAAACTAAAATATATATTTCTTATTAGATGCAAGTTTATCAATTGCATCAATTAATATAACGTATAATTACTTTTCTTAGTTCTACTGGTGGGCAAATTGTTTGTTGGTAATACATTTCTACTGCTACTAAACCCAAAATTTTGCAATGTTGCTTTCTGAGGACATTCTGCATTATTATCTGATACTGATGGATTAGAGGATATTGCTACGATCTGAACTTCATCCCATTTTTCCATTTCCTCTTTTTCATATAGAGATTTGGAAAGGGCTAAAGCAAGTTGAAGATCAGGATCATCAAGCGATGCCTAAAAAATTATTATTTAAATCAGTTAGTCTAAAAAATATTTATATTATTGTCTTGTCAATAATTTAATTAAATTTTAAGAAGATTATCTCAATTAAATTCTCATCAAGCTTCAACAATCTGACAATTTAAAAATCATCATTTTATATATATATCCGAACAATTAAATACCTACTATTTTACGAGGAGCAGATTTCTTTTTGTCTTGTAATATAGGAGCGGAGAGAAGCCCCAATGATTTTCTTTCTGCAGCTTGCCGTTCTTGTAATTCCACAGCATCCATTAATTTTTTTGTAGACATGTTATTTTTCGTGGCACAACTCTTCATATGTACAGCTTGTGAATTTTCATCTTTAAGATTTTTAAAACACAATGGACATACAAAAGCAGTTTGTACAACAGTTGAACTTTGCGGTGACTCTATTTCTTTCTTTTCAGATTTAAAAAAAGATGATTCAATTAATGGTTGTTGTATATCACGAATCTTTTTACTCTGTAATGGTTTTCCACTTTTAGATTTCTTTTCATTTATAATAATTTTAGGTTTAGAATGGAGTACTTTCTTTTTGACTTTATCTGGAAATCTGTTACTATTAATAATTTTCGATTGCATGGAATGTATTCTTTTTGGCGATTTAAAATCCAATATACTGTCATCAAGTGGAGATTGAGATGTACAAGCAGTATCATCCGTATTAGATTCATTATTGTTAGGAAGGACCTTGTTATCCATACTAAATAAAACAACATTTTTATATTAATAAAGATATCCCAAGGTAATTCAAATAGCTTTTATTAATATAAAGAATAAATATCTTTGCAAAATACAAATTTAATTTCATTTAATTTAGGAAAAAAGAATATAATAATAAAGACATACGATATGTTTTATACTTCAAATATATTTTTATCATTATATGTTATTAGAAAGATACATGTTATATTAAGTCAGACTACAAAAGTTATGTTATTAATTTAATATATTTAACATGTTATAATATATACCTTTCCTTATCATTTTTCCTTAATCTCAATCTTCCTTCTAAACTACTAGGTTTACAGAATCCATTCTTTTCAATATCCATTACTGTTATGTAAACTTTGAATATTCTGTTGTTTAAACTTTATTCAGCTTTAGCCTGCATATTTTCTAATTCAGCTTCTGCTTTAGATTTAGTTCGTTGTCTATCACTCAACTTTTCAATAATACCTTTCAAAAATGGAATTGTGTTGTAATCTTCTAACATATCTCTCTCGTCTCTTGGGAGAGTGAATTCTCTGATTATATTTTCGTCATTTAACAATGGAACGACACTGCAAAACAAAATTTCATATTAAATTTAAATTAAAACAGATACATTCAAGGAACTTATATTCACTAGACGAACTAATTAAACATTATAAATACCGAAATTGATGGAAAAATAAATAACGTAAATTGTAGATTTATTTGTCCGTAAAATTTACGTAAGTATATAAACCTACTTTCTTCTCCAAGAAATATACATCGCACCAGCGTATAAAAGGGTTACAGTAAGTGCCGCGAGTCGAACATATTTCTGTAGTGGTGTATTCCTAAGTTGACGTGGTTTTCTGTGCGTTTCGTCCGCGGGATCATGAAACATTTCATAAAGAGAAGGATACTAAAATAATGTCTTGTCTTTTGTAATTAATGGTCCTAGTCCTCGTTGACGGGATAAACTCGGCCAGTTTTCCAGACACCTTCACAACCTTCCACAGGAGTCAAACCGTAGAAACGAAAAGAACTAGAATCAGGAAGAGCGTCAGTCTCCCCCTCCACCCGGCAAAAAATCCCACGCACTACCCAGGGCGAACCGAGTCAAACTGCACCACTCTCGGTCGAGCCGCATTCGGACGCTGAGGAGAGAAGAGAGAGAAAGAGAGAGAGAAAGTAGAATAGAATAGACTTTATTATATTTCAGTGAGAGAGGGAAAATAGAAAGGGGACTCAACTCAATAGTTGCAGAGATTTGAAAAAGGAGAGGAGAAGTCTGCAAATTTTAATCTGAGGGTCCATAAACATAGAAAAAATATCATTAGAGTAATGAGGAAAAGTTTTCTTGATAAATTTACTAAGAGGGGTGAATCTGTCACGAGATAAGGGGCAATAAAAAATTACATGGTTGGCATCCTGTCTAGGGTCACCGCACGTACAGGCTGGAGAATCCATCATGTTTGATACTAAAATAATATTAACGTGATTATGGGGATGACAATGATCTTACAATGCTATAAGATACAATCATGGCGGGCATAGATCTGTTTGATTTGTTTACACTTTTTACACTCAACATCATCGTTCTCTCTTTTCAGTATCAAATATATATATATATATATATATTTCATTTTAAGTGTAAAAAGTGTAAAAAAGTATAAGCAAAGATTTTTTTGTGACTGAACCAGTGTATACTTTTACTTAGAGTGAACTTAGAGTGAAATAGGTATATGTTTAATATTTGTTGAAAATGAGAAAGAGATTTCTAGGGGTCGATTCTTCAAACAAGAGCTGTGGTCAAATGCCATATGCACAGGCAGGCCTTATATTTAAAACTTCCTTAAATTTATCTTCAGATACTTTATGAATTATTTCATTGGCTACTGAGCATCTAAAGATAAATTTAAGGAAGCTTTAAGTACAAGATCTGACTGATGAATATGGACAAAAGTCTCGCTACAAATGCTTTGAAGCGTTTGATAGACCAATTAGAAGAAAGAATTTTACAAACTGACCAATTAAAAAATTCAAGGTGAAAATTACAAAAGCGAGCAAATTCACTATATATATTGACTAATGAAATAATCAGTATTCTAATAAATTCGCTCACTTTTATAATTTTCATCTCATTTTAAGATACAGAATCGATCCCCTAGTGCAGAAAACAGACCACTAGACCATGATCTAATTCTTGCAGACGCTTATGAGCATCATTTATTTTCGTTTAACATTTTAAAAACAACAAGGATGAAATGATTTTTAAAGCGTGAATCGGACCACATGTGATACTAACCTAATCTAGGGACTTGACTGCTCGCCCATAGTGACCTGCTTTCGAGTTTCGACCTTTCAGTCAGCATTAAGTACAATAAATAATTTCTACAGTCTGTTTAAAATCACTTATCATCTGATTTAAAATATCTAAAAATGTTTTGAGCATCAAATTATTAAAAATTGCTTGTCAATTTAATTCGTAGTATTTAGTATATTACTACAATAGTTTAATTGCGTTTATAAGTCTGGAAAATTAATTCAGCGCATAGTTCGAATGATTATAGTAATATGCATGTAC